GCAATTATTTTATGAATTCAATTTTTAAAAAATTGTCAAATGCACCATTAATATATTCAATTATATTTTTTTCTAGAGTTACAAAAGTTTCAAATATGTGATCTACCTTCCATGTAACCACAGGTGACAGCTATCAAATGTTTTGCCACTCCCTAACTTGTTTTACAGTAAACAATAATGTTTTTTCTTGCCACTTACTGCCAATGAATCAAGTATTAAGCCAATGGCACATAAGTTAGGTGTTGTGTTTTAGCAGCACCCCATTTCAAGAGGCCAGTCTCATACTAGCCAAGATTGCTTAGTCTATTCTGTACTAACAAGATCCCAACATCTCAAGGACTCCACATAGGAGAAGTTTTTGTTGTTTGTTTTTGTTTTTCACTTCTGTTACATGTCCTGTGCTCATAGTGGCCACAAAACAATCCAGGCTGAGAGATGCTTTATTGACCCTTGTTTGAGTGTCAAGGCAAGACAATGAGAAATTTGCAGTCTTACACTGGTGAGCAAATGCTCTCACTCTGAAGCAACATGTCATTTCCACAATATTTTATTGACCAAAAATTTACATGATAATATATAAGTTCAAGGGGGAAGAGGGGACTCCTGCAAGAATGCATTTCTTATCCCACAAGGAATAACATGTTAGCGTACAGCCCTAGGTCCCATTTTACGACCTCTATGCTATGTACTATATATATATCTAAGTCTACCATAAAACACTAACAAAAATAAGCTGATATAATCATTTTAATATATACTAAATTGGTTGTTTTGTTGTTGTTGTTGTTTTTGAGACGGAGTCTCCTTCTGTGGCCCAGGCTGGAGTGTACTAGTGCGATCTTGGCTCACTGCGAGCTCTACCTCCCAGGTTCACGCCATTCTCCTGCCTCAGCCTCCCGAGTAGCTGGGACTACAGGCACCCGCCACCATGCCCAGCTAATTTTTTGTATTTCTAATAGAGATGGGGTTTCACCGTGTGTTAGCCAGGCTGATCTTGATCTCCTGACCACATGATCCGCCAGCCTCTGCCTCCCAAAGTGCTGGGATTACAGGCGTGAGGCTAAATCGGTTTTAAGGAAAAAGACATTAGAATAGATAATGTCACCTCATGTGAGCAGAGGTTATATTTGCCATGAAGATACTACAATTCTAATGCTCCATGCACTCATAAGTGTGGCATCAAAATATGTAAAGTAAAAGTTGACAGGACTTCTAAAAGAAATAGATGAACCTATACTCACAGCAGGATAGTTTAACATTAAATCTCAAGAAGTAATAGAATAAGAAGACAAAACTCAGAAAAGGTAAATAGGATTTAAACAATATGATTAACAAATAGATTTAGTGGATGTATGAAACACTGCACCCCAAAACTTCAGGATACACATTATTTTCAACAAACACAAAACATTTATCAAAATTGACCAGATATGCAAAACATAAATTTTAGCAGAGAAAATTTTATGTAAATGGAAACTTGAACATATATTTTTAAAATAGTCTACGGTGGAAGAAAAATCACAGTAAATTTAGAAAATATTTAACATTAAGTATAATTAAAATATAGTAAAACCTTGTGAGAAATGATTTAAAATTCTGAGAGGAAAACATATTCCAGGAAAATAACAGCAAACATGCTCAAAGGAAGTAAAACTAATTAAATAACAATAAAAGAGATGAAATTAATGAAAGAGAATACATTTGAAAAGATCAACCAAGACAGATTTGAATAGACTAATAAAATAAGCAAACCTCTGGTAAGATAAGTCATGAAAAGAAAAGCAAATAATATGAAGAATTTAAAGGATATATTCTGTTGGTATTAAAAATTTAATAAGATGATATAATCAAAATTACATAAAAACATAAATAATTAAAAGTGACAAATATCTAGAAAATTGTAACTGCCAAAACGAGACCAGAAGAAATAGGCAACAGAATAGTTCCAGATCAAGATCATAGAAATGTACGCTCATGTACTCTATAAGTTACATGTTAAAGAATGTTCGTAGCATCATCATCATCCTAGTCTCCAAACTCAAAATAAGCCAACTTTGTGTTTCCACTAGACTAGATAAAGTTTGAATTGTCATTCAATTAATACTATGCAGCAATTGAATAAATGATCTATATATGCAACATGATTAATTTTAAAAACGTAATATTGATCAAAAATAGTTACATTCAAAAAGATTATGTACAGTATTATTCCATTCATGTGCAATCCAAAACCAGGCAAAACCAAGCTAGTGCTTAGGGATACATATTCAAATGTAAAATATACAAAGTTAAACAATAATGTGATTTGAGTTCAGATAGTTGTTACTTCTGGAATGAAGATAGGGGTTATGATTAGAAAGGAGAATATAAGGTGTTATGGGATATACAAAGTTCTCTTTCTTGACATGGAAGGTGTTTAAATTAGTGTGCACTTTATACTATAGCATTTATACTTCATTAAATGTTCTATATTTGTTATATGTAACAATAATAGCAAAAATGAAAAAGAGAAAAGAAATATTTCTAATCAAATGATATGAGGTTAGCTAAATCTTAATACCAAATTCTCATAGGCACAATATGAGAAATGAAAATTAAATGTCAATATTCCTTATAAACATAGATGCAAATATCCTAATACAATATTGGCAAACTGTGTCCATCAGTGACTTAAAAAATACTTTACATACTCAAACCTTTCATTGTTTCCTCTTCCTGCCCTCTGCCTCATTTTCCTTTTCGGTTCAGACTGCTGAAAAAGTTTTTCTGTGATGTTCCCTAGCATCTATTCTCTTTCTCTTATAGAAGTGAAAGGCTACATCTCTTTGATTAAATTCATGTTTTTAAATGTTTTCTCTTATGGAAATGCACCAGAAAAATGCAGCTCAGAACCACAAGCTTGCTATCCATTCTCTCTGTCTTTGTCATGGGTTATGTCACAAGTTCTAAAAAACTGTGCTATTTTTTTCATATACCAGCAAGTACGGTACCGTCCCTCAGGTCTATTTGTGCCGATTTGGGGTATTATCAGGTTGTGACCGGCATCCCCAAACGCTTTTCTCCAGATAGAGAGGAAGATCACCCTAAATTGAAAAAGTATAAAAGATCTCTTCAGGCCTGGGTCAAGAGTGCAAATGAAAGACCACATGCCACATAGCTAGATATTTAAAGGTCATAAATATACAAAGCTAACAAACTGTTAAAGGAGATATTTTCTATTCTATCTTGACAAATATACCATTATAACAACAAAATGGAAAATAGCTACCTAGCTATTTTAAGTTATAATTGAAACTTGCAAATCATCAAAGATGATGCAATTATTTTGTAAATTTTTTAGTACTCTGTAGATCACCCGAAAAAGATTGCGTGAGTAATAAAATACAAACATTTATAATTCACAAATTATATGTTTATTAAATAAAAATAGCTTTGTATTCATCCAGCTAAATGGCTGGATGAATTTACTATCTTATAATCAAGATAATCAAGTTTTTATTTACATTAATTTTGAATTAGATACTCTTTCTTGAGTCTCCAAGTTTTCAGAATTTTGGTAATTCACTTTTTTTGGTGTTTTTTGAAAGAGTGGGATGGGGTGAGGAATCTTGACTCTTCACAGTGAACACAGTAGTCCCACCTTATCTGTAGTTTCAGTTACCCAAAGTCAGCCATGGTCCAAAAATAGGTGTGTACAGTACAGTAAGGTATCTGGAGAGAGCGAGAGACACCACACTACATATTTCATATTACATACATACATATATTTTTTACATACATTACATACATACATAATATTTTTAAACAAATTTTTAATTTTTATTTTTTAAATTTTTATTTATTTTAGAGACAGGGTCTCCTTATATTGCCCAGGCTGGTCTCAAACTTTTGGGCTCAAGCGGTCCTCCTGCCTCAACCTCCCAAAGTGCTAGGATTACAGGCATGAGCCACAACCCCTGGCAACTTTTATTATAGTATATTGTTTTAATTGTTCTATTTTATTATGATTTTTGTAATCTTTTACTGTGCTTGATTTATAAATTAAACTCTATCATAGGTAGATAAATACAGGAAAAATACATATTGTATATAGAGTTTGGTACTATCCGCTGTTTTAGGCATCCACTGGGGGTCTTGGAACATATGCCCCATGGATAAGGGGAACTAGTGTTTCTGTTTCTTTGCTTGGTTATCAGTTTTGCAGGTTATGACGTAATACAGTACTGCTTTCTTTGGTAGCTGTTGCCGAATTTATAAAATTTACTTACTTTTTATCACTTTTAAAGTTCAAAAAAGAAGTATGAGGGGAAAAGTGGATAAAATGTGAAGGCATTTGGTGCTATGGAGGGATGGTGGTGAGCACTGTTAAGTAGTGATGAGGCAGGGAATGAGAAAGATGCATGCTTTGTAAACGAGTTTCTCTTCAGTCACAGTACGGACCAAATCCAGCTTTAGCTCCACAAGAAATTGAGCACTCTTTTGAAATAGATAGGTCTGTCTTTGCATATTTTATAAATCTTCATTGGCTATGCTATTAGCCATAAAAGCTTCATTTAGCTACATATTCTATGAATCAGATTTTAATAATATTTGTGCCTCAGAACTCAAGCTGGTTGAATCAAATTTTCCACAACTCAGAGGAGGCAAAAATGTACAAAACAATGAAAGAGAATACGTCTTTATTTGCATGGATGCAAATGTGAGTTTAACTTTGCTTCATAATCATCTATGAAATATTTCTGCCCATGGTGAAGACATAAATTTCTTAGCTGGGGCTCAGCAGAGAAACTGAAGGAAAAAAAGATGTCACCAGTACAGCTATGTGAAGATCAATCAGCAAACTTTAGAAATTTCCACTTGACATTGAGCTAACAATGAAAGAAGAAGCAGAAAAAGGAGAAGGAAGAAGAACTCCACTGTCCACTCAAGGATATGAATAGCATTTTAGATCAGTGAATAACCAGCAGCGATATTAGACTTTGAACTTTCTCTGTTCTGACATGGAAAGTGCCCTGCTGAGTATCCTCACTCTTGTAATAATTGCAGAATTCGTAATTGGGAATTTGAGCAATGGATTTATAGTACTGATAAACTGCATTGACTGGGTCAGTAAAAGACAGCTGTCCTCAGTTGATAAAATCCTCACATTCTTGGCAATCTCCAGAATTGGGCTGATCTGGGAACTATTAGTAAGTTGGTTTTTAGGTCTGCATTATCTAGCCATATTTGTGTCTGGAACAGGGTTAAGAATTATGATTTTTAGCTGGGTAGTTTCTAATCACTTCAGTCTCTGGCTTGCTACAATCCTCAGCATCTTTTATTTGCTCAAAATAGTGAGTTTCTCTAGCCCTGCTTTTCTCTATTTGAAGTGGAGAGTAAACCAAGTGATTGTGATGATACTGCTGGAAACCTTGATCTTCTTATTTTTAAATCTGATACAAATAAACATACATATTAAAGACTGGCTGGACCGATGTGAAAGAAACACAATTTGGAATTTCAGTATGAGTGGCCTTCCAACATTTTCAGTGCCGGTCAAATTCACCATGACTATGTTCAGTCTAGCACCATTTACTGTGGCCCTCATCTCTTTTCTCCTGTTAATTTTCTCCTTGTGGAAACATCTCCAGAAAATGCAGCTCAATTACAAAGGACACAGAGACCCCAGGACCAAGGCCCACATAAATGCATTGAAAATTGTGATCTCATTCCTTTTACTCTATGCCAGTTTCTTTCTATGTATTCTCATATCATGGATTTCTGAGCTGTATCAGAATATACTGATCCACATGTTTTGTCAGACGATTGGAGTCTTCTATCCTTCAAGCCACTCCTTTCTTCTGATTCTAGGAAACCCTAAGTTAAGACAGGCCTCTCTTTTGGTGGCAGCTAAGGTATGGGCTAAACGTTGAGAAACTCACAATTTCATAAGCCATTCAGACCACAGATTATTGAATATTGTAGACAGAAACAGGAGTCTATGAGGAGTTTAAAAATATTTTATACTTTCCCTAGTTTATTCTATTGTGAAGGTGGTCACTACAATTTTTTAAAATTCTTCTCTATAATAGCATCTTACCTAAGAATATTATGTATTTATGACACATATTTCTACATTATTAGGAATTTGAAACTTATTTGAGGAAATCATTGGTAGATTCTACTGTAAATTAAAAACATATACTACAGCATACTTAGATGTTAATTGTAAATCTACAGTCTTTTGTCTGGCAATGGCTCTTCAATTCTAAATCACTCATTGGGATGGGTGATTTAGGTAATTATTTTATTATATCATGTACTCCTATTTAAATGGTGAATTACAGATAACTAGAACAGTTATTTGGAATAGAATTAAGGGAAGTTTGGACTTGCCACTATTACTATGCTGATGGGTTAAAAAAAGTTTAATATGAGTAACTGCCACATAAAAAGATAAGTGTTTGTTAGGAATTATATTGTATGTATGTGTACATACATATTTTACACCATGCCTTTTAAAATAAATATTATTGAAACATAATTTACATATAATAAAATGCAACATGTTAGTCCACATTTTGGTTAGAGTTTTGACAATAGTGTACACCTGTGTGACCACAATGTCAGTGCCCTTTGCAGTTTACCCTCTCCTCACCAGCCCTTTTTCCCAAGCAACTACTTATCTGTTCTTGGTAACAATAAGAAAGTTCTTTGATTTTTAGAATTTATATGGCTATAGATATATAGATGCTATATATATATATATATACACACACACACACATGCACACACACACACGTACAGTTATCGAGTGTGCACTATTATATGTGAAGCTTCTTTAACTCAGCATAATGTTTTTGAAGTTCTTCTATTTTGTTGTATTAATCAGTAGTTTGTTCCTGAGCAGTATTCCTGAGTAGTATTGGATATACCACATTAAAAAATTTATCTTTCCTGTTAATGAACATTCAAATGGTTTTTTAATCATTGGCCATTATAAATAAAACTATATCAACATTCATGTGTGTCTCTTCTTCTGGATATACAATTTTCTCACTCTTGAGTAAATTCCTACAAGTAAAAATGTCAAATCATATGATAAGTGTATGTTTAACTTAAAAAAAATGCTAGAGTTCTATGGAGTGGCTGCACAATTTCATATTATTGCCAGCAATATACAAGAGTTTCAGTTATTTCACATTCTGGCCAACAGTTGGTAGGTACTCTGTTTTATTTTTTATTTTTTGGCCATTCTAGTCAGAATGTAATGACATCTCATCATAGTTTTAATTCACATTTTCCTAATGGCTAGTGAGGCTGAACATTTTTTCATGTGCTTTGGGTCATTCATAAAACCTCTTTTTATGAAATGTTTGTTTAAACCTTTTGTCAACTATTTAGCTTGATTCATTGCTTTCTGTTTTTGTTACTGAGTTGTAAATGTTCTCTATATAGTCTCCGTATTAGTTCGTTTTCATGCTGCTGATAAAGACATACTCAAGACTGGGTAATTTGTAAAGAAAAAGAGGTTTAATTGACTCACAGTTCCACACTGCTGGAGAGGCCTCACAATAACGGCAGAGGCAAAAGTCATGTCTTACATGGTGGCAGTCAAGAGAGAATGAGAACCAAGTGAAAGCAGAAACCCCTTATAAAAACATCAAGTTTCATGAGACTTATTCACTACCATGAGAACAGTATGGGGGAAACTGCTCCCATGATTCAATTATCTCCAACTGAGTCCCTCCCATAACACATGGGAATTATGGGAGGTAGAATTCAAGATGAGATTTGGGTGGGGACACAGCCAAACCATATCAGTCTGAATATAAGTTCTTTATCAGACATTAAGTTTTATAAATATTTTCTGCCAGCCAGAGGCTTGTCATTTCATTTTCTTTACAGTGTCTTTCAAAGAGAGGGCATTAAAAACTTTTAATGAAGTTCAATAATCAGTTATTTTCCTATAAGAAAATTAATTTTTACTTCTTTTGCTTTCAAAATTCAAAGGTATTTTATGGATCAGTTAGAAAAAATATTTGCAATAAGGCACAGTTATCCTTGAGTATAATGACAGAAAGCCTGATTTCATTTTCTCTACTGTCAGAACAGGTTCTTTGGTGATACCACATAGATTTTTAATAACCTGTTTCAGTAGTACTATCTACTTGAGCATTCTCACTTTCTCTCTTTTATTTTCTTTTTAGAAAGGACCTCCTAAATGGGTTTGCTTAAAAATTAGGTGAGAGGAGTAGTATGATCATTTTTATCATTAATTTCTCTGAACTCTCTTGTAGTTTATTTACCCAATAGCATCTTTCAATATCTGTCAGTATTTTCACCTTGGTACTCATATGGTTCCCATAAAAAGCACTATAATAGTTAAGGGCTGAGTCTGGAGTCAGAGGTACAATTCTCAGTTCTATCACTTAGTAGTGTTAGTTAAAATTGTGTAGTTCCCATTTATAAGTGAAAACATGCAGTATTTGGTTTTCTGTTTCTGCATGAATTCACTTAGGACAATGGTCTTTAGCTGCATCCATGTTGCTGCAAAGGACATGATTTCATTTTTTTATGGCTACATAGTATACTATGGTGTATGTATACCACACTTTTTTGGTCTAATCCATTTTTTTTTTTTTTTTGAGACAGAGTCTCACTCTGTTGCCCAGGTTGGAGTGGCACGATCTTGGCTCACTGCTGCCTCCACCTCCCAGGTTCAAGCAATTCTCCTGCCTCGGCTTCCCAAGTAGAGCTGGGATTACAGGCGGGTGCCAGCATGTCCGGCTAATTTTTGTATTTTTAGTAGAGACAGAATTTAGCCATGTTGGTCAGGCTGGTCTTGAACTGCTGACCACAGGTGATCTGCCCACTTTGACCTTCCAAAGTGCTGGGATTACAGGCATGAGCCACCGTGCCTGGCCTGTAATTCATTGTTGATGGGCATGTAGGTTGATTCCATGCCTTTGCTATTGTGAATAGTGCTCTAATGAAATTGTGAATGTATATGTGTCTTTCTGGTAGAATGATTTATTTTCTTGTGAACACATACCCAGTAATGGTATAACTAGGTTGAATGGTAGTTTATTTTAAGTTCTTTGAGAAATCTCCAAACTGCTTTCTATAGTGGCTGAGGTAATTTGCATGCCCACCAACAGGATATAAGTGTTCCCTTTGCTCCACAGCTTCACTAGCATCTGGTTTTTTTGTTTGTTTGTTTTTGTTTTTTTTAACTTTTTGATAGTAGCCATTCTGACTGGTGTGAGATGGTACCTCTTTGTGGTTTTGATTTGCATGTCTCTAATGATTAGTGATGTTGAGCATTTTAAAACTTTTGTTGGCTGCTTTGTATGTCTTGTTTTGAGAAGTGCCTGTTCACATGTTTTGCTCATTTTTAAAGGGGTTATTTGTTTTCTGCTTGTTCAATTGTTTCAGTTCTTTATAGATTTGGGATATTAGACCTTTGTTGAATGCATAGTTTGCAAATCTTACATTCTATAGGTTGTCTGTTTACTCTGTTGATAGTTTCTTATGATATGTGCAGAAGTTCTTTAGTTTAATTAGGTCCCACTTGTCAATTTTTGTTTTTTGTTGCCATTGCTTTTTGGGACTTAGTCATAAATTCTTTCCCAAGGCCAATGTTTAGAATGGTGTTTCCTAAGTTTTCTTCCAGGATTATTGTAGTGTAAAGTCTTACATTTAAATTTTTGACCCATCCTGAGTTAATTTTTGTGTATGGTGAAAAGTAAAGGTTCAGTTTAATTCTTTGCATATGGCTAGTCAGATACCCCAGCACCATTTACTGAATAGGAAGTCCTTTCCCCATCGTTTATTTTTGTCAATTTTGTCAAACATCAGATGGCTGCAGTTGTGTGCCTTTGTTTCTGGGTTCTCTATTCTGTTCCATTGGTTTATGTGTCTCTTTTTATAACATGACCATGCTGTTTTGTTTACTGTAGCTTTATAGTATAGTTCAAAGTCAGGTAATGTGATTCCTCTGGCTTTGTTCTTTTTGCTTAGGATTGCTTTTGTTATTTGGGCTCTTTTTTCGATTCTATATGAATTTTAAAATAGTTTATTTTTCTAGTTCTGTGCAAAATGGCATTGGTAGCTTGACAGGAATAGAGTTGAATCTGTAAATTGCTTTGGGAAGTATAACCATTTCAACAACATTGATTCTTCCTATCCATGAGCATGGAATACTTTTCCATTTGTTTGTGTCATCTATGATTTCTTTCAGCAGTGTTTTGCAGTTCTCTTTCACCTCCTTGGTTAGCTGTAGTCCCAGTTTTATTTTTTATTTTAATTTTTGATGATATTGTAAATGGGATTGCATTCTTAATTTGGCTCTCAGCTTGAAGTTTTTTAGCGTATAGAAATTCTACTGATTTTTGTGCATTGATTTGTATCCTGAAACTTTACAGAAGTCCTTTATCTGTGCCAGGAGACTTTTGGCAAAGTCTTTAATGTTTTCTATGTATGGAATCACATCAGCAAGGAGATATAGTTTGACCACATTTTTTTTTTCAATTTTGATGCCTTTTCTTTGTTCTTGCCTGATGTCCTGGCTAGGACTTTCAGTACTATGCTGAATAGGAGTGGTGGGAGTGGGGACTCTTTTCTTGTTCTGGTTCTCAAGGGGAATGCTTTCAATTTTTGCATGTTCAGTATAATGTTAGCTATAGTTTTGTCATAGATGACTCTTACTATTTTGAGGTATGTTCTTTCAATGCCTAATTGTTTGAGGGTTTTTTCAAGAGTTCAGAGTTTCCTTGATAGTTTTCTGCCTCAGCGATCTGTCTAATGTTCTCAGTGAGATGTTGAAGTCCCCCAATATTATTGAGTTGGTGTCTTTTTATAGGTCTGGAAGTACTTGTTTTATGAAGCTGGATGCTCCAATGCTGAGTGCATACATATTTGGAGCAGTTAA